TAGATTGCACTGATAAATATATCATTGATAATATTGCCAAAAAGGTTGAAAAAGACCATAAGAAAGAAGCTGCAATTGCTGTTGTTCAAGAATCGGCTTCTCCTGAGAAACATAAAGAAATTGTATCTAAACAAAAAAACGATGGCAGCATTGAAATTGATGATTCAATATGTAAGGAATTGCAAGCTCCTAAAGAAGATATTATTACTACAATTAAAAAGAAAGTTACTAATAAGAAGCTTCAATCACCCGACCTTTTATCAAGTCTTGCAACTGCTATTAATATCTCATATTTGAAAAACGCTGCCTCCAAATACAAAGGTGATTGGGAAGATAAATATAATAAAGCTCGTGACTATCTTTCTAAGCAAATTGGAGATGCTGAGGCTGAAAAAGAATTATTAGATTGCGCTGACGAGTATGTAGTCGAACAAACTACGAATAAAGTGATTGAGGAAAAGAAACGAGATGTAATTGATCTTAAGAAAGATGAAATACCGAAAGAACATCCGAAAACTAAAGCTAAGAGCTTTATCGGTGCTATTTATGACGGTGCTGTTAAACTTGAAGATAATATTGAAAAGGCCCTTGGATTTAATAAAAATAAACTTGATGATCATGAGAAAGCGGAAGCACTTATAATTGTTGAGGAATCAGCCTCTCCCGAAAAATGTGAGGAAATCGTCTCTGACCAAAAAGAAGATGGTTGTATTGAATTAAGCGATACAGTTTGTGACGAACTAGATGCACCTAAAGAAGAAATTATTACAACAATTCAACCAAAACTTACAAATAAGAAGCTTCAATTACCCAATCTTCCATCAATTCTTTCAACTGCTATTAACCTATCATACCTTAAAAAAGCTGCACCTAAACATGAAGGTATATGGAAAGATAAACATGATAAAGCCCGTAAATATCTCTCAGACCAAATAGGAGATGAAGATGCCGAGAAAGAACTATTAGACTGCGCGGACGATTATGTAGTTGATAATTGTATTAAGAAGGTGATTAAAGATAAAAAGAGAATTGCAGTCGCTACGGTACAAGAGTCTGCCACACCTGAGAAATGCGATGATGTAGTGTCTAAGCAAAATAATGATGGATCTTTTGAAGTTAGCGAAACAATTTGTGAAGAAATAGACGTTCCGGCTACTAAAGTAGTATCTGAAGTGAAAAAAGGTACACAAAATCCAAAACTTAGATCTCCAAAATCACAACCATGGTGGAAAACAGGACTCGCTACTAGCTACCTTAATATCGCCGCACCACATCATAAAAATCAATGGGAAGATAAACATAATAAAGCTCGTAAATATCTTTCTGATCAAATTGGAGAACCTGCTACTGAAGAAGAATTATTAGATTGCACTGATAAATATCTCGTTGATAATATTACTAAAAAGGTTGAAAAAGATCATAAGAAAGAAGCTGCAATTGCTGTTGTTCAAGAATCAGCTTCTCCTGAGAAACATAAAGAAATTGTATCGAAACAAAAAGACGATGGCAGCATTGAACTTGATGATTCGATATGTAAGGAATTACATGCTCCTAAAGAAGAAATTATTACTACAATTAAAAAGAAAATTACTAATAAGAAGCTTCAATCGCCCGACCTTTCATCAAGTCTTGCAACTGCTATTAACCTTTCATATCTAAAGAATGCAGCGGATAAATATAAAGGTGATTGGATAGACAAGTATAATAAAGCTCGTGACTATCTTTCTAAACAAATTGGAGATGCTGATGCTGAAAAAGAATTATTGGATTGTGCTGATGAATATGTAGTTGATCAAACTACAAATAAAGTGATTGACGACAAGAAACGAGATGTAATTGATCTTAAGAAAGATGAAATACCGAAAGAAGAACCCAAAGCTAAAGCTAAAAGCTTTATCAGTAATCTTTATGATGGAGCCGTTAAACTTGAAGATCAAATTGAAAAAGCCCTTGGGTTTAATAAAGATAAACTTGATGATCATGAAAAAGCGGAAGCACTTATAATTGTTGAGGAATCAGCCTCGCCTGAGAAATGCAATGAAATCGTCGCGGATCAAAAAGATGATGGTTGTATTGAATTAAGCGATACAGTTTGTGATGAATTGGATGTGCCTAAGGAAGAAATTATTACAACAATTCAGCCAAAACTTAAAAATAAGAAGCTTCAATTACCCAATCTTCCATTAATTCTTTCAACTGCTATTAACCTTTCATACCTTAAGAAAGCTGCACCTAAACATGAAGGTGTATGGAAAGATAAACATGATAAAGCTCGTAAATATCTATCAGACCAAATAGGAGATGAAGATGCCGAAAAAGAACTTTTAGACTGCGCGGACGATTATGTAGTTGATAATTGTAT